CTCACCCTAGGGCCTACAGGGCTGGCTTTGTCTAAGACGAAGAAGCTATGGCTGCTGATGTCGGAAGTTCGACCCCCTGCTTCAGAGCGGTGTACAGAGTTAATTATGCTCATTCTATGTATAGACTGATGGTGAAACTTGATATGTGTATTTATTTGGCTTCATGATATGTTACATTTGTTGCACATCTATCGATTATCGTGAGATGAGATTCCGTGTATGTATGCATGCAGTTCTCGCTTCGCCTCTACTATACAGCTCATGCCCCATCATGAAATATCCATCCAAAATCGGCGATTGCCATGCTCCGCTCATCAACGTTCCAAACCGTCTTGCCCATCATTTCTTCCTCTGTCCATAGAAAATTCATTGACATCCCACGCCTTCATCGGTCCGGCATTAACCACACGTGTATGTATGTATCCACACAACGGCCAACGGTCCATCGTGCCATTCTCCAATCGGTGTGCACTCGCTCAGGGGGCCCAAATATCGTACACCGCACACCGAAACCACAATGAGTCGAGGCCTCTGACATACTACATACATATGTATGTACTGTATTGTTAAGCGCGTTAGCCTTCCGGCCCGATCCAGCAGCCAGCCAGCCTCAACCTCAGCTCAGAAACAGCTTAATCGCATCTCCCATCCTTCCAGCCTGTCCGCCACCGCTCCTCCCACTTGGAACAGTCGAACTCAGGCTTGCCCAATTTGCGGTTGACGTCGTTGTGTGCGCCGCACAGCCACTTGCCGAACTCATCACGACTGTTGACCTGTGGCGCTTCTCGTTTTAGATAACCCTGGAAATCTTCCGCGCAGACCCAACAAGGATATAGCTTGGAGAACAGACCGACGAAGCTGAGAAGGTCTGATTTTTGGCCGCTTGAGGGCTGTATCGGATACTGAGCGGCAATGGAGTGAAGCAGTGTCCATGTACTACGGCCTAGCACCTCGACATCTGGAGGGCAGTCGGCCGGAGGACCCTTGACCTTTGCAGCATCCTGTTTGAGAGTACTCTTTGTCTGGGAAGCCCATGCAGCGAAAGACGTACAGTTCCGGCACCTGAGCAAGGGTCAGTCGAATAGGGCTCCATTTGCAGGGCGTCATGATGAAACTCACGGTTTGCCGTCAGGGCCTAGTACCACTCCCTTGGGGATCCTCTTAGGCGGCTCAGCAGAGCCTCCTACCGACGACTCAGGGCCAGCGGGCGCAGCCGCCTGCTGTTGATCGCTCGGATCGCTCGACATTGAATGGCGCCACTTGTGGTGGTGAGATCTCTGACTCTGGCTCTAGCTCTAACTTCGACCTCTGAGGCGAGCCACCACTAAGGAATAAGACGGGAACAAGCAGTCGGCTGCTTTCGGTGGAATTATTAGGGACTGAGTAAGTGAAGCAGGCCAGGTAAGCAATTGATCAATCAATGAATGAATGTCGACAAGCGCAACGCCACGAAAGAATCTCGGGACTGAAAAGAAGAACTAGAATTGGGATCTCGAGACTTTAACGATTGTCGTGGTGTGACGTCTATTTGTCAGCCTCTGTCTACTAACACAGAAGAAAAGAAGCTAAATACACTGCCAGGATGTTCAAACGTTCTATCAAGTGTCTATCAACAGACAGAATTCGAGACTATTTCTTATCGATAAGCCACTAAGTCCTGGAAGCTTCCAGGGGCAGGCCAAATTTAGGCCGGAGCAGCGCCGTCTTCCGGGTGATTATGGGGCGAGGCAACCCACTCAACCCGCTGTCGATTGAGCTTCTTTAGTTGAGGATGTGTAGGTATTCTTCACTCTAGCATCATTCCCGGTCGAGTTTTGTTTAGTCTCTTGAAAATGTATGATTAATCCATGGTTATACAGAAGTGGCAAGTCAAGCATCTCCGTCAAACCCCTTCCTATTTGCCAATGTCTATGAGAGTCAGTTTGTGTTTCCGAAAGGCGAACTTGACAATCCTGTTGCAGCTGTATCACTTATGAACTCATCCATGACCTTACTCAACGCTATCATGTCATCACCAACTGAGAAAAAGGACGGGTCCAATGCCATGGTTTGACCGAACGTGTTATCAAAACCGCCAAAGTTGTTCTCCGCGGATGACAGAGTTGAAGGATTGAATGCTATACACAAAAGTCAGCAGCAAATAACGAGACTTGTAAGGTAAAGAGACTTACCGTGGGTTGGTGACGAAATAGACACCGAACTCTTCCGATCTTGCTTAAGCATGACCGATATCGCCCTGACAGCTCTTTGAGCTTCAAGAGATTGGTCGGACCTCGTCTCCCAGATGTCCTTTGCTATAATCAAAGCCTGCAAGATATCACTTCGCCTATGCAAATCATGTCCTGCATCGCATCTACTCAACGCAAAGCATAGCATCATGGTAGCTTGCATGAACTCGGATCTAAGTGGTGCGGCAACTCTCCAGCGTATGTTGTACATGAGGCCCCCTGGTTGAGTTTCCTCGTTCATGCGTCGTTGGTGCTCCAGGATCGACAGGGCAGCCTTGATGCATATCTCACTGGATCTGACACTCTCTTCTCCCGCCGACCCTCTGAAGAAACTGTGTCGATGGAGGAGATAGATGGCTTTCTGGGTGACGATATCGAGCATCATTCGATTGAGGATTGTGGCTGGACTGTCCACAATCGACTCTTCGAGAGGTTTTAGCCTGAGCCAGTCCGGCAAGGAATCTGTGGCTCTCTCGAGCCTGACCTGCAAGGTCGCAATAGCAGCTGCTGAAGGGGGTCCTGCTTCGGTTGTGTCGTATATCTCAGCAGCAACTTTGATAACTCCATGCCTGTGAATATGAAACGCCAACATGGAAGGTTCCGAACGTGGCCTTTCAGGCGGTAGGGTATTGTGCTCAAAACCAATATCGCTATCCAGAAGATACGAGGGCGGGCGAGTGTCGCATTGGGTATCTTTGATGATACGTGGAAGCCCGATTTGGGTACTGGTGAAGAAGTCGATGCTGTACAAAGCTATCCATGCTCGTCGCCGGAGTTCAGCTTGCAAAGGTCGGATATTTGGCCAGTGTGATGGTTCACGGTGAAGACCCATCCTCATGGCTATCCTTATGATGACACCCATGAGAATCCAGTTCCCAATATTTGCATCGGCGTCGGCCTCTTGGTCAACTGCAAAGTGCAATAAGAGCGTCTCAACCGTATGCGCGCTGGAACGAAGGTAATCTCCAGCAACCAAGCAGTGGATAGTGAGCGTTCGGTAAGTGTCGAGCGTTGTTTGTAGCTCAGAAGCGGACAAGCCATGCATCCCTGCCTCCTTTTTTTGCAATGATACGGCCATACTCATGATGCTGAACAGGAACCCGACCCAGATGATTGACACAGCGGAAGGGTTTGCCCAGAAATTTGCATACTGTATATGGATTAGCAATTGACTCCTAAGGTGTTTGTTGTATGCTGACTTCTGCAAGGAATTTGCCTCGATGAAGGATGACTGGTAAGGCTGAGTTAGCAGTTATATGAACATGAGGTTATATGAACATGAGAGTCATGACTTACTTGAGTCAAAAGTATTGAAGTACTGGAAGATGTGTCTGTCAACTATCTTGCGAGGAGGAACCAAAGCGAGAATTTGTTCTACGGGAAGACACGAAACATTAGCAAGTAGAGATATTCTCGGTGCCTGAGACTGTTGTGTCAAGCCACCAGCAAAAGGAGAAGCCCCTTCACTGACAATGTCGGAGCCATCATCAGCGAGCTCATCTCTGAGTTGTTGAATCTAGGTAGGGTATCTCGTCAGCTGCGAGTCTCTATAATGCGTCTTGTTCTTACATCTTCCAATATTGTAGCCCAATGTGAGCTACCTGTGTATACAGCCTGATCATCTGCCAGATTTAGATTTCCCATTCGAACATTTGGTGATGTGCCTAATGCAGTTGGTTCAAAATCACTCGAGCCATTGTCTGCTTTGGTCGTATTGTTCAACGACTGGTTTGAACTCTCAGCCTTATCTCTCAGTTCCGTCACCAGATTCTCAAGACGAGCTATCCTCTGACGAGCTTTCTGATTTCTGTTATGAGGCCTGTAATCGATGGCATCCTTGCGCTCTTGTTCCGAGCAAGTGAAGATGCACTCGGTAGTTTTTCCGCGCCGTGTGCAAGCGCCGCAGGGTGACTGTCTATCGCACCGAAGTCTGCAGTAAAGTCAACACCTTGTTGGGTGTCTCTCTGATTTGCCTGGCTTACTTGCGTCCCCTGCAGAAAGTACAGCTGAGAATTGGCTTCTCACGTTTTCTTGTTTGGGGGTTTGACTGTGCTTGGTGTGTTTCCATGTGTGACAGCGGCGAGGGCTCATTTGCCTCTCAATCTGACACAAATGATGAAGCTAGTGTAATAAATTTGAAGTTTGGCTACTGGACGTGAAGTCATGTTCACTCATGATGCTAAGAGCCACACGTGATCCAGCACCGATGATACCTAACAGAACAACGCAATAAGATATACTGTATAGTTTGTAAAATATACTGCCTGGATCCCGAATAATTCGCATCGTGAGAAGCCCAAGTCAATCAGGGAATTGTGCCTTGAGTCATGGTCTCTAATATTGCTGGTCAACCGACAACCATCAGTCTCATATTCATATTGAGTAAGACGGATAAACGGAATGGAGATAGTTTAAAAAAATAAATAAAGCGGCTCAGCCTCTCATCTTTGTTTCAAGCAGTAATAGCGGACAAACGAAGGATTTTCGGACGTTGATCCTTCGTGGAGGGTCACTCAGCGGACGGTCGGACGGTCATGGTGTAAGCTCATTGGTCAATTTTTGACTGTCCGAAATACCATCTCTCTACGGACATTGTCGATGGATTTCATGGCGGACATTTTGTGATATACCGATAGTTATATATAACAACAAGAGAATCCGGTGATTCCACTCGCGATCCAATTCAAACACATTCTACAGCTGTATCAGCAACTTGCCCAGTCAACATCAACTACACCACTATTTATACTACACTTCTTACATACCATCACAATGATTGCCTCAGCCAATGCCCCGGCTGATGTGGTCTACCCAAAAGGCATGAAGTTTGCCATATTAATGATTTCGCTCTATATCAGCATGTTCCTGGTTGCCTTGGTATGTCCTGTAATCCCTCGATACAATCACACAACTAACACTCTTCAGGACAAACTCATCATCTCGACTGCTATTCCCGCCATCACGAACGAGTTCCATGCTGCGAGTGACATTGGTTGGTATGGCACAGCTTACCTTCTTACCAACTGTGCCTTCTTGTTAGTATTTGGCAAACTATACACCATCTTGGATATCAAGATGACCTTTATGACTGCCATGGTACTCTTTGAAATTGGCTCAGCTATCTGTGGTGCTGCCCCAAACTCGATTGCTTTCATCATTGGAAGAGCTGTCGCAGGTCTAGGTGGTGCTGGTACGCAATCGGGTATCGTGAGTTGCTCCCTAAAAGTCTGAGGATAACACCCTTACTGACAATGCTAGCTTGTCATCATTGTCTATGCTGTCCCCCTTGAGAAGCGACCTCAGTACCAGGGTCTCTTCGGTGCAGTCTTTGGAGTCGCTTCAGCTATTGGACCTGTCATTGGAGGTGTCTTCACAACTCACGTCACTTGGAGATGGTGCTTCTACATCAACCTTCCCCTTGGCGCCGTTGTCTTGACCTTTGTCTTCCTATTTCTCCAGGTTCCTCGCCAATCGACTGAGAAGACCGGTCTCATGTACAAGCTCCAGCAGCTAAACGTACTCGGCTTGGTTGCTCTCATCCCTGGTGTTGTTTGCCTCTGCCTGGCTCTCCAATGGGGTGGATTCGAGTACAGCGTAAGTGTTTGTTCCCTATACTGCAACGACTCGACTCACATCATCTAGTGGAACAATGTTCGTATTATTGGTTTGCTCGTGGTTGCTTTCACCCTCCTCATCGCTTTTGTCCTCATCCAGATCTGGAAGCCCGAACAAGCAACTGTCCCTCCTCACATCTTCGCCAAGCGCAGCATTTTCGGTGGCTTTTGGGTGAGCTTTTGTATCGGTGCGCATCAGACACTGTTGATTTACTTCCTCCCTGTCTGGTTCCAGGTAATCAACGGAGATTCTGCCATGAACAGTGGTATTCATCTCTTGGCCATGGTACTTGCTCTTGTTGTTGGATCCATCATCAGCGGTGTCCTCACCTCTCGCATTGGATATTATATGCCGTTCCTCATTGCCGGAATCTGCATCTCTTCCATCGGTGCTGGCCTTTTCACTATCCTTGGCACCAATGCCTCAGAAGGCCAATGGATTGGGTATCAGATTGTATATGGCTTTGGTCTCGGTGCCTGTTCCCAGGCTCCCAACATGGCTGCCCAGACTGTTCTTCCACGCAATCAGGTATCGATTGGTGCTTCACTCGTCATCTTTGCCCAAACACTCTCTGGTGCCATCTTCGTTTCTGTTGGCACCAACGTGCTCGATGGAGAATTGGCCAAGCGTTTGTCCGCTTTCACAAGCGTTACTGCTAAGCAGATCGAGTCCGCTGGCTTGACAGGTCTTCTCGAGACTATCCCTGAGAAGTTCCACAAAGATACATTGACTGCCTACAACGATTCGCTACACGTTTGCTTTCGTGTTGCACTCATCATGGCTTGCCTGCCTATCTTGGGGGCGTTGGCTATGGAGTGGGCCAGCGTGAAGAAAGAAGCAGTCGAGACAACAAAAGAGAGTGGCAATGAGGCAGAGGAGAAGTCGGTTGTTTGATTGCTTAGGTTGCTTGTACGAAGACGTTGAGTTATTGTTGATAGATGGTTGTTTCTGCACTTAATACCCAGCTCGATAATTAGATCCCATTCATATCTTTATTGTCAAAAAATCACCTCGATAAACTACCTAAGTAAAGATTAGATATTCAGTGAATCTGATGGAGCCTGGAAGCTCCTCAACTGCCGTCTCTAGGTATAGTTATCGATAAAGCTGTCGCCCACTTTTCCCATGAGCCCCTCACCCGCATCCCACCTTCCGAGTCTCCGAAAGTTGCTGATCTTCCCACCCCATGATCTCAACTTTATTCTCCCATTGATCGCGTCTCCTCCATTCTTTCATCCTAAAGACTACGCATCGACCATATTGACAGCCGCGTGAATCAATACATATACGCATCAGGTCAATCTCAACTCATCATGACAACTACCAACCCCACCCTGGAGCAAGCCTCCAAGATACCTGTTCTCCTACTCAAGACGAGATCGAGCCCCGGCGACTCCTACGAAGATCTTTTCTCGGAATCCAGTATCAATGGGAGTGGTTTTGTGCCGCAGTTCGTGCCTGTTCTTCTACACCAATTCCACAGTGATGGCATGAACGAAGTCGCAGCGCTACTTCGCCATCGCCTCATCGGAAACCAGGAACATCATGAATATGGTGGCTTGATCTTTACATCACAACGCGCCGTCGAAGCTTTTGTGAAGCTTGTCGAAGATGGCAAAACCGGTATGTCATAACATTAGAATAGATAACTATATCTCTGGAACTATATGGGTTAACACAATCTCTCTTGCGACAGATGACACTCCCAATCCCGAGGATAAACCCTCATGGCCTCATCTACAGAACATCCCCGTCTACAGTGTCGGCCCCGCCACTACTCGCGCCCTCGCCGCCGTCCCTCAAAAACCTCCTCTCCAAGTCTTCGGTAGCCACACAGGCAACGGCGCAGCCCTTGCTCCTTTTATCCTCGCCCACTACTACGAATGGTACAGCGGCCAAAAACGTGCGACTCTCCCGCCTATTCTATTCCTCGTTGGAGAAACCCGTCGTGATATCATCCCCAAAACGCTACAGGACGGCGCACTACCAGATACAGAGCGCATCCGTGTGACAGAGACGGTCGTCTATGGGACGGGCGTCATGGAGAGCTTTCCAGTTGATCTACGCAGGGTCCTCGGCGAAACGCGCAATGATCCTATGCGATGGATTGTGGTATTCTCACCAACTGGATGCGATAGTATGCTTCGAATCATGGGAATTCTGGATCCTGAAACCAACAAGGTCTATAAAGGCTACGAACGGGACGGCAAGACGTTCATTGCGACCATCGGACCTACGACGAGAGATCACCTTCTATCCTTCGGTTTCGAGCCTGACGTGTGCGCCGAGTCACCGACGCCTCAAGGAGTGCTGGAAGGGATCCAGGCGTTTATGGCCAAGAGACAGAGCTGAGACAAGGAGCAATGAAACAATTGACCCTTTTTTGTAAGACTACATGCGGGGTATTGAAGGGCCACTAACGGCGTAAAGAGTCGGGAGTATCAGCTCCGGGTATCATTGATGTTTACTAATCTTGCCTTGAATATTTTTTGCTGTTGCCCTCCTTGTTATATACCCCAAAAGACTTTGTCCAAACAAAGGTCGCTCTGCCTTCACAGCACATAGATTTTCCTTCTTCCCATATATCATCAATTTAATGAGAGACCGATCCGCCTGTGAATACCATATCATAACACCGAGCGCCATGCAAACACGTGAGAGCCATACCGAAGCATCATCATCATACGCCCATAACCCAGAGTTCGACTCCGATGACGCCAAATTTGGTTCCCTCGTCACTCAGAGGTTCGTTACCAAAGGTCTCGCACCTTGAGCTATGTCCGTTCTCAAGCCCGTTGTCTAACCACAGCCCATAATGCCCACTGCCTGATCCAACACTTAGGAAGCCGGTCTCACAATTGATACAGAAGTCATTCAGACCGCTGTATGGGAATGCCTTGAACCTAACAGCTTCGCTAGGCGTAGGCGACGGCGCGCGAGAATGTGTAGGGGTGTTGCTCTCTGACGAAGGCGGTGGCGGGGCGAGCGTTGTAGTTCGAGAGTTCAGGTTTGTCGTATCAGCTGATGGAGGTGGAGGGAGAGGCGTGATAGTCGAGGCTCGCCAGAGGAAGCATTCGCCGTTGCCAAAGTACGAGTGCGCAGGATGCGGGTATTCGGATAGGTATGCGCCAAAGATCTGATCATGTTAGCTAACAGGGTAACGTCATATGGGCTCACTGGATACGCACCCCTCCTTCTAGGTCTTTGACGACCAGGACAAAACCAGCTCGTTTGCCCTCATATTGTCGACAGCGCTGATAAAGAGTCGTTAAGCTTGCACCGTCCTGCTCGAGGCTGTAGACCAGATGCCAGTCGTCTACGATGCGCAAACGCTCAGGAACCATGGTGCGGATCTCTTCCGCGACAGCGGCTGTCAGCAACTTAGCCGACTTGGGCGTGCCCTGACGATAGCCATGCAGAACAAGAGGATCCAGGGGGGGAGGACGAAGGGGGCTCGCTGTACGGCGCACGGGTGTGAAGACACCGTTTATACCGTCTTTTGTGCCATTGCCGTTGTGGTACTTGTAGTCGTTTTCGTAGGCGGTGTCGGCCTGGCTAGGGAACGAACCCTCACTAGAGAAGCGACGGATGAGGCCGGTCCACATGTTGGTGATGTATGATGCAGAGGCGCGATTAGGATTGTTGGGCGTAGCGGCGCCAGAAGATTCGGGAGATTCGGGGGATTCGTTGCGGTCAGAAGAGCTCATGACGTGTAAACACGGAGTCTAGTGATAGTGATGCTCAAATTAGGAAGCGCAGGAGGCCATAGAGACGAGATTCGAAGCATTCAGTGACCAGGAAGCTGAGGAAGAATACTGCTGTTGCTAAAAGGGAGACAGGACGTTGATATGTAGTGTTGAGATCTGAGACATTGGAGGGAATGAATAAGTTCTGACGCTGCTATGGTAGCTGTAGGTTGGAGATAGAGGGCATGAGATTGGGGGAGCTAGTGGAGCTAGATATAGCGGGGTTAACGCCTAGAACAGGACTTAATAAGACCAGAGACAACGATCTTGAGAATCGATGCACTAACATTAATAATAAGTTCCAACTCGCTATGATCGCTTGGAACCGGATACATTTAAGGCAGCAATTGCCACATTCTTCATTGTATGCCTTACTTAACAGCTTACAGCGAATTGCGCGGTGATTCATAAGCCTGTGGTCTCTTTTACTGGCCACATGCATGTATGTACGTACGTACACGCTGGCAAACTTCATGATCGTCATCAACACCAGAGCCTCAAGCACCAAAACGCTAGCTCGATATGGCCAACGGTCTATCACGGCTGAAATGCTGGCTCGGTCTAGACCTTTTGATCTGTTGTCTTGTCACTCGGACTCTCTGATTGTCACGTTCCTGGAGGTAACTTGGCCGATGGGGATTGGGCGAAACAAAAGTCATGATATTACTTGATGTCTCTATTTGACTAGTGGCCTCTCTCAAAGTGCATAGTTCCTGACATGAATAGGCAGAGAGAATACTCTAACATCCAAGTTTGCTACTACGAATGGAACTCTGTTTCACATTGATCACCCGAGTAAGGTATGCTCACCACGTATCATCATGAATTTCTTTTTTTCTTGGGATATAACAACTAAAAAAAGAAATGGCTGCAATGTGCACTTCATCAAATAATCTTCAAGTCCCATGTTTGCCTTTCAGACTCAGGCTCTGATCCTGACTCTGGCCCATGTCTTTGATCCTGTTTCCATACATTTGACCATCTTTCAACATCAAGTTTGCCCTAAAAGACCCATGCCATGTGCATGCTATACAGAATAAACTAGTAGGTGATTCTGTGTATGTTTGCGTGCGTGAGGGTTGTGCTGTGGTCTATTTATCTTCTCCAAATTCTGCCACTTATCTTCCTCTCAAATGTCACAACTACGTATAAGCACACCTGCTAGTAATTGATGACCCGTCAGAGGTGTCTCGGATCGCAGATCCTAGATGCCTCGCCCATCTTCGTCATCATGCCATATTTACCTCATAATCTCCTGGTAGATCAACTGCTTCAGCTGCTCCTTGCTCAGGTTGTCTTTGTGCTTGTCAAAGTCAAAGAACTCCTCGGGGATCGGGGGTGCTGTTGGCTCGTCCTCGGGATCATGGTAAGGCTCAAGGTATGGGTGCTTCAGAGCCTCCTCCACGGTGATGCGCTTAACAGGGTTGAATGCGAGGAGCTTCTCGAGCAGGTCGAGGGCCAGATCCGAGGTCTTGGGGAATAGAGTTCGGAAGGGAACCTTCTTCTTGAAGGGGAGCGATCGAATGTATTCTCGAGCCCGGCGCGACTTGATTCCGTAGTAGTCTTCCATAGTGGGCGTGCCCAGCACGTCCAGAATGAGTGTCAACTGGTGGTGGTCTGGCGATCAAATGGTTAGCAAAGAGCTCTATCGTCTCAGGTATTTCAGCAACCACTTACAGTCCTTGCCAGGGAATAGAGGCTTGCCGCTGAGCATCTCGGCGAGAATGCAGCCAACCGACCACACATCAATAGCCTTGGTGTACTCCTTGAAAGTCAACATGATCTCGGGCGCACGGTACCATCGAGTCGCGACATATTCAGTCATGAAACCAGAGTTGTCCTCCTGCGAAGCAGCAGATCGCGCAAGACCAAAATCGCAGACTTTGAGATCACAGTTGGCGTTGAGGAGGAGGTTGGAGGGCTTCAAGTCTCGGTGCAGCACGTTGGCTGAGTGCATGGCTTTGAGGGCGCGGAGGGTCTGGTAGATGAAGTACTGGCAGTGGTCGTCGGAAAGGTCCTGGGTGCGGATGACTCGGTGCATATCCGTCTCCATCAGCTCCTGTATCGTTGGTTAGTCTGCTGCTGCTATTGCGACTGAGCGCTGGTGGTACAAACCTGGATCAAGTAGACTTCATTAAATGACTCGTAGTTTCGGGGCTTCTGAATATCGAGAATGGAGATGATGTTCTCGTGGTTGAAATATCGCAACAGCTTCATCTCTCGCAGGGTTCTTAGACAGAACATGGAGTGATCGAAAGGAGTGATCTTCTTGATGGCGACCTTTTGGCCAGAGGGCTTGTGAATAGCAGAGCTGGAGGAGAGTTAGGATTTGATACACTGGGTATCGCACGAGACACAAGAAAACATACCAGACAACACCGTAGGCGCCCTCACCAACAACATCCTGGATATCATACTGCTCGCTCACGTTGAACGAGATCTTGCGGGACCCCGCAGCGTTAGGGGGGTTCGATCGAGACATGGTCGCGGTGAAAAGGAGGGGAAAGCTGAAGAGGATTAGAGCAACCGAAAAAGGCTACGACTGATGCCGTGTAGAGAAGAATGCGCAGTCGCTCGATCGGTCAGTCGGTCGAGATGATGTAGAAATAAGGTAGAGTCAAGTCAAGTCTAGACAAGAGAAAAGGACCAGCCAAGCAAGACTAAGAAGACTCCTTTGTTGGTACTTGAAGGATCTGGATCTGGACCTGGACCTGGACTTGTTTGGACCACCTGGACTGGCTTGAACTGGGCTGGGCAGGACTGGACTGGACTGGCTGATTAAGGGTGATTTGAGGGGTTAGATATTGAGCTCCACCCAATAGGTACAGTCGCAAGACTTGGTTATCGACGAGACTCAGCGGAATCAAGCGAGATACGCAGGCGATGATTTATAGCGACTGAGAAAAGAACCAAAGTTGAAAGGGCGTAAAATAGGTGGTGAGTATTTAATATGTATGAAAGAAGAAAGGGTTGAACAGCGACGGGGAGTTATAGTAGCGATAAAGTAGTACAGCAGCTAAGGTACTATGGAAGGTAGAGATGGAACAGAAGAGCTCCACGTCCGCTCGGGCCGTGCTGATGCTGGTTCGCAAGTTGAGAGCGCGGGGCAGAAGAGGGTCTTGCACTGCTGCAAAGACCCGTACAGAGGCTAGCGCGTCGTGGCAGAGGCCCAAGGTTTCAGTTCGGTTCGCCGTCGTCAACGGTGAGTATAGGTGACAATGGGTAAGGGTATTGCTGCACGGGCTATTTCGGAGGGGGGAGAGTGAGAACGTCTTCCAAATCTAGCAGTTGAATTGGTCTGTGAGTAAGGTAACACTTCCGTAGAGAGAGAGAGGTATTGCCTCTGACTGGGTCTCGCTCGTTCTGACACAAAAGGAATGGGGGATAACTTTTAAAACAAGACAGGTTGACTGAGATGTGAAACAAGCACGAGGAGTCAAGACAAGACAAGGCGAGACGGACGGAACAGAAGGGTAGTTAACCAATATCACTAGTTCAATCAATCATCCCTCTCGTCATCTGATTCTTTGTCCCTTTGGGCTGATGACTCTGAGATGTGATAAAGCCAAAGCTGGGCGGCTAAGAACCAACAACTACTTGCTCAACTCAAAGCTGGTGGAGGTGTCACCTCAGCCCGGGACATCCAGTGACTTGTCATCAATGCAAAGAAAGGACTCAAAATACGACAGAGTGCCCTTTGAGTTTACCTACTATAGCTACCTACCTTACCTAGGTAGGTACGCAAGCAGATCTCTTCAAGGGAATGCGTGATCGCAAGACGAAACGAAACCCTTGAAGGATAAACCAAAGTTCATGGTTCATGGACAGGTCCAGAACATCTGTAATGATCGCCAGGAGGGGCATTAACAACGCCAACGTTGCCGAAAAGCTATTGAATAAACAATACAACAGTTGAACCTGGAACAACTAGACAACTAAACGCAGAAGAACGGAATGACAGAGAAACCTAGGTACTCTGTACCTAAGGTAAGGTACCCATCATCCCGGATATTGCAGTACAAGACTCCTTGGATATAGTGGATGACTCTAGAATAACAAGCTTAACTTAAGGGTGAAGAAAGACAAAGTGGGGGAGAGCTCTCTGATTGACTTTGACCATGGAACGGGCGGGACGGACAGGGCAGCTTCCCGTCAGGTACTTTAGTACCTTACTTACTGTACTGTACCTGACGATACGAGAATATCGCAGAAACAACTTACAGACAAGCCCAATGTACCTTATACATCCGTCTGTAACAGACCTAAATGAAACAAAGACACGGTACGCAGTAGCATCAACCTTAGTACCTTACCCTCTGAGACGAAACGTTACAGAACCTGCCAATGAAATGACAAGACGTTAGGGATTCAAAATACTGGGCGTTTAGCATCTGACAGCCCCGAAACTTGAATAATGCTACCTACCTACGTACGACTCTGCCCTCTCGTCTCCTTCAGTGGATCGCTTCAGCCCCCTGTTCGACAAAGATCCCTCTACCTTATGTACCTACCCAGGTATATATCTATGCGTTTCACCAACCCAATGCCATGATGCTTCACATGTTACCGAATCTTCTTCTTCCTCAACGGCATGGCCTGAACTGAACTGAACCGGACTGAGCTGATTCACCTGGATAGGTAGGTAGGAACTGTAATAAGAGAAGAGAAGCACTGTGTCTCTGTGTTCTTAAAATAACCTCCCCCAGCGCCTAATTCTGGCCATCATTGGCTACCTACTTGGCCCGTTAGGCGCGTGCGTTTCACACCCACCGACTCGGCGGCGTTTCATCATTGGATGGCAAGGTCCTTGTATCTCACGTACCGACTCAGGGAACATCGCGTCTGCGGCTGCGTCTGGTGCCTGTATCAGATTTCATTCCATGGCGACCAAACCAACCCCTCGGTCATGGATTCATCCAAGGAATCGGGTCTCCTTTCCGTTTGGTTTCTGAAGAAATGAATGCACTTCTAAAAATATCATGCATTACTACTATGCATGCTGGGGGAGGAAAGAAAACTCAGGACCGCGATCCTAGATGACAAAAATATTTAGCTAACATAGCCTAAGCTTAGGATAATCTTTACCGAGTTTATTTTGACACCTCATATCAAGGTCCGTTGTTTTCTTGCTCCCCGAGGGCATGTCAGTCTATCGTTCTTGGTTGGCTGTATCATGTCTTGACCCTGGATGTGCTGTTTAATGCTATCATCATGGGCCCCTCTGCTCTGCTCTGCTCTGCTCTGCTCTGCTCTGTACTACAACATGAACATGATCATGGTGGCAATGGCCTCAGCATCACCTCACCTCGTCACGTCAAGGCAATCTTTACGATTTTTCTCACAAAGCAATTCATTTCATTCATTCACTCACTCTAATCGACACCGTTCGTCCTCGCATCCCTGTTACCAAAAACAGCCGACTGCTTCTCCAGGACCTCGACTCCAGTCATTGAACCCTCCTCATCCCGATCCCAATATTACAAGCGACCCACTCCTCCGTCTACAAACGCTCGACTTTTCGTGAGCTACTCTACTGAACAACCTTGATACAAAAGTTAGTTTGTCATGTCATCTCAACCAATATCATCATCGATCAACTCACCTTTTCTCTCAACATGCCTAGCCATTGAGCTGCGCTTACACCCTGGTCGGCTCGATCCTCCACGAGTAACGTTTGCGCCCAGAGCTTCAGACTAGGTTCTCCGTCTTCTCGCACAATATACAGGTGGGGCAATGTAATGCTGCCAACCCCTAGTGACTTGTGGTCCCGGCTCTTCTGAACAATAGCTCGCACCCGTTCGTTGAAGTCTCCTTCGAGCTCGGGTACGCGACCCTTGCCGACCTGGATCTGGGCTCTGTCTTCCACTCCAAACACATCTTGCACCAATTGCGGTACGGCATCACGGCCGACCCACAAGAACTGAGTTTGTCCATCATCGATGAGGTACAGGCCGTATGGCACAAGCCTCTCTGAAGAGAGGTTGAGCGCAGGAGGGAGCGCAATGTGGCCCGTCTCCTGATCGGGAACTCCCGCGTTGTCGGGCATGTCGTGTAGTGAGTAGAGTCGTGGGTAAATGTAGCGCATCAAGAGAGGCACAGGGAGTGTTGACAGGAGGCAGAGCGCTGCCGATCTGATGTCGGAGGGGATTTGAGATGACTTGCGGAGACCGACATTCTTGATTAGCCCCAGGAACAGGAGGGGAAGACCGCGGAGGTTGGCGGGGAATTGTAGACCGCCACCCATGCTGCCTCCAGCCAGCTCCTTCTTGAATGTCTGCAAGAGCTCGGTGACCTTGCTCTGCAGAGCGTCGCGAGCCGCATCCAGGCCGCTTGAAAGGGCACGCTCCACGGCCTTGTGGCTGAAGTAGGTAGTAATGGCACACTGATCCGCTGAGGCGTACATATCGGATAGATTGGTCGTTGTAGGAAGGGCCAGAGTCATGACTCGGATACGACGCTCACCATTGCAGGTTGTGTGCAACACGGCCGCTTGGAGGCAGATGATGTTCTTGGTAAGATTCTCATCAATAGCCACCTCGACGACGTAACATTGATCGCGGGGAAAGGCAGGGAAAGCACAGAGATCAGAGCTTCGGTTGAAGAAGTTACCATAGAATGTGTTCATTCTTAGACCACTTGTGGCTCGGACTCGGAGAACAGCCTCCAGACCAATTTCAGACGAAAGATAGTCGCTGAACTCGGAAGCAAACTTGAGAGCATCCTCAGGTCGCGAGGCATGCCAGCCTGGGTAGAACCAGGTCTGACCACCGGTGTAGCGAGGGAGGTTGCTGAGCGAAGCCACATCTTGATACTGTGACGAGAAGAGGAACATATCGATAGAGACCTGGCTCTTTGAGCATTCGACAGCAAAGCTCTTGTAGAAACTGTTGGCTGTTTGGAGCAGAGCTCCCTCCTTTGACGTGCCAAGAAGCTTCTTGTCCTCACGCATCTCGAGCTTGCCGACACCAAGGTTGGGCAGGGAAGCAGTCAAAACAACAATTTTGCCTCCGAGGCTGGAGATAAGCTTGTGAGCTGCACGCAGGGCCGATCCCATGCATGAACCATTGCTCTGGTTATTCTGGAACATGTCGGGAAGCTTCTGCAGGAACTTCTCCACGCTTTGTCGACTCTCGCTAAGAGGAACCAGGAGCTCGTTGGGGATAGGGAGGAAAGGCTCGTCGAGATCGCTGACAACCAACATATTGGTCTCGCCATTCTCATCAGTATCTTTGGGGATCGAGAAGTAGTGGAGGCTAGAGTCCACAGCCAAGAAACCAAGGCGCGTGCGGCGATCAGCATTTGGTATCCGGTCAAGGCTGTCCAAAATGGTGCGGGCCGCGGTGGCCACAAGTCCGGTTGAGACAGCAGCGTAGCTGACATCGAAACAGAACAAGTAGATGAGGGGCTGAGGTGGGCGAACCATGTACTCCTGGGGAGCAACAAACTCAACAACAGCATGGTTCAGCTCGGGCCGCTGCCATC